GAACGGCCGACTGACGCCCGCTCTGCTACCACTGCGGGGAAACCGACCATGTGTACCGCAGATGCCCAAACCGACGACTCGGGCTGCGCGGATTCCACCAAACGACCCGCGCCCCGAGTATGGTGAACGCCCTCGGGAGATCGACGAGCACCAGCGACGACCACAGTTCCCCGAACCTGCGTCCCGCCGAGAGTTCCGGTCGCCGTCGCCGCGACGTGCAGCTTCGCCGATGCACCGACCCCGACGTGAAAGCTTGTCGCCCCTCGCTCCTCGCCGGGGAAACTAGGCACGGCAACCCCTAGAGGTGGAGTTGCCGAAGACGACCGACGTAAAGAGCCTCCAAGAACGACGGAGCGCTCCCACCCTCCCGACGCCACGCATCACAACGACGCTCCTGCATCGGTGTCCAACAACCTGAACGTTGTGATCGATGGCCTCGACGCATCGGCACTCTTGGACACCGGAGCAGACTACTCAGTCTTGAGTGGGAGGCTCTCCCGCCGCCTCTGAAAAGTCATGATGCCGTGGAATGGACCACAAATAAGAACCGCCGGAGGACACCTCATTACACCAGTCGGGAGATGCACTGCTCGCGTCGAGATCCATGGTGAGACATGCCCTGTGAAGTTCGTCGTACTGCAAGACTGTTCGAGGGACGTTATCCTCGGAACGGACTTTCTCTGCGAGTATGGCGCCGTAATCAGCCTTGCGGCAAACCAGTTGACGCTGCGAAAGCCTGTCCTGCCGCCGGTGGAGAACAACACGACGTCAACCGCTATCCGAGTTATCGCCGACCATGTGAACCTACCACCGCGGTCGAGTGTTTTCGTCACCGTTATAACCGACGCAGCCATGCACGGTGAAGCTCTTCTAGAAGGCAGCGTCTAACTGCTCCTCGGAAAAGGAATTGGTGTCGCAAGAGGCGTAACGGATCTCCAAGAAGGACGTACACCCGTTCTTGTGACCAACTTTCGAGAGGAGCCGCAGCACCTAACGAAGAGTACCACTGTGGTCCTCGTCGAGGAGCTTCAGGCGCCAGCCGTGGCCACAACCTCCGAGGAAACCTCGTCGCCACAGCAGAAGAGCACGACGCCGCCGCCGCTCGACATCGACCCTGAGCTCCCAGCTCCGAAGCGCCGGCAACTGGTTGACCTCCTTGCCAAATACAGTGACTGTTTTTCCACGACATCGAAAGTTCGCCAAACACCAATGGCGAAACGTCGCATCATTACTGACGACGACGCACTCCCTGTCCACCAGTCGCCGTATCGAGTCTCCTTAACAGAAAAGAAAGTGCTTCAAGATCAAGTCCAGGAGATGCTCGGCGACGGCATCATTCAACCCTCAAGAAGTCCATGGGCGTCCCCGGCCGTCCTTGTAAAGAAAAATGACGGAACCCTGCGGTTCTGCGTGGACTATCGTCGACTGAACACTGTGACGAAGAAGGACGTCTATCCGCTCCCCCACATCAACGATACGTTAGACCGACTGCGCCACTCCCGATATTTTTCGTCGATGGACCTGAAGAGTGGTTATTGGCAGATCGAAGTCGACGAACGTGACCGGGAGAAAACTGCCTTCGTCACTCCCGACGGACTGTACGAATTCAAAGTGATGCCGTTCGGACTTTGTACAGCACCAGCCACCTTCCAGCGCGTCATGGACACTGTACTGGCAGGTCTGAAATGGCAGAGCTGCCTCGTCTACGTGGACGATGTCGTGGTATTCTCACGAGACTTCGGCGAAAACCTCAGACGACTTCGAGCCGTGCTTCAAGCCATCAAGACCACCGGCCTGTAAATCAAGCCAACAATGTGTCGGTTCGCCTATGGAGAACTAAGGTTCCTCGGCCACGTCGTGAACAAGAAAGGTGTTCTACCTGACCCGAGAAGACCCGCGCCGTAGCTGCATTTGCGCCGCCGTCTGAAAAGAAGGCAGTAAAAAGATTTCTCTGACTCTGTGCCTACTACAGGCGCTTTGTTCGAGACTTTGCCAAACTATCCGCACCGCTGACACACCTCACAAAGGACGCCGTGAAGTTCGAGTGGACAGACGAACACCGGAAGTCATTCGACGAGCTCAAACGAAGACTCCAGACGCCCCCGATTCTTGGCCATTTCGACCAGTTTGCTGAAACCGAGATCCACACCGACGCCAGTAACACCGGACTGGGTGCGGTACTAGTCCGAATGCAGGACGGCGCAGAGCGAGTTATCGCATACGCAAGTCGGACGCTGTCTAACGCGCAGAGGAACTATTCAACGACTGAAAAGGAGTGCTTCGCTGTCGTCTGGGCAATAACAAAGTTTCGCCCATATTTGTATGGAGGTACCTTTCGCGTGTACACAGACCGCCACTCGCTCTGCTGGCTGGCGAATCTGAAGGACCTCTCCGGACGCCTCTGCCGGTGGAGCCTACGACTGCAGGAGTTCGACATGACCGTGGTGTACAAGCCCGGCCGAAAGCACAATGACGCCGACTGCCTGTCGAGGGCCCAGTCGAGGCCGGTCCTTTCTGCACCAAAGAGAACGACGGTGAGTGTTTCCTCGGCGCACTGGATGTCAGCGACATGGCAGCACTCCAACAAGACGACCCTGAGCTGCGAGCACTCGTCGAGCACCTAGATGGACAAGGAAGCGCCGTTCCCCGCGGTTTTGTACGAACACTGCAAACCTTATCCATCGGACAAGGTGTGCCCTACTAGGAGAACTTCAGCGACAACAGCACGACGTGGCTGTTGGTAGTCCCTTCCAGTCTTCAAGAAGAAATGTTTTAAGCCTGCCACGATGACCCGACGGCGGGACACCTTGGTTACAGCAGGACTCTTGCCAGGATACGCGAAAAGTACTACTGGCCCAAGCTTGCGATGACAGTGCACCACTACACCCGATCTTGCCACGAGTGTCAACGATGGAAGAAGTCACCGACGAGACCGGCAGGACTTCTTCAGCCCATTGCGCCGCTATCTGCCCCATTCCAGCAAATCGGTATGGATTTACTCGGACCTTTCCCGCCGTCGACGCAAAGAAACCGATGGATCATCGTCGCAACTGATTATTTCACGCGGTACGCCGAGACAAAAGCCCTTCCATCAGGAACGGCTGTTAAAGTCGCAAAGTTTTTCATCGAGTCCATCGTCCTCCGGCACGGCGCTCCCAAAGTCCTGATTTCAGACCGTGGATCATCATTCAGGGCCCAGCTGACGCGAGAAGTCCTTCGTCTCAGCCACACCAGCCATCGTCGCACCACGGCGTACCACCCGCAGACCAACGGGCTAACAGAGAGACTCAACAAGACCATCGCCGACATGATCTCCATGTACGTCGACGTGGAGCACAAGACATGGGACAAGGTGTTGCCCTACGTCACATTTGCCTACAACACGGCCGTACAAGAGACCACCGGAGTGATACTCTTTCAACTGGTGCATGGGCGCAAGGTAGCGACAATGCTGGACGTTATGTTACCCCACGAACCGGCTGTCGACGAGAGCAACGATGCTCAGGTGGTTTCCCAAAGGGCAGAAGAAGTCCGTCAGCTCGCCAGACTCCGGATTGAGGCTCAACAACGTGTCGACACTGGCCGCTACAATCTTCGTCGTCGGGACGTCCACTTCCAGCCCGGAGAGAAAGTGTAGGTGTGGACACCGATTCGCCGCCGCGGTCTCAACGAGAAACTCTTGAAACGCTACTTTGGACCCTACAAAGTGCTTCGTCGACTCGGGGATCTGAACTACGAGGTGATGCCCGACGGAACACGGACTTCGTCACGCCGCCCTCCACGACCGGAAGTTGTCCACGTCGTGCGACTGAAGCCGTACTACGCTCGATAGGACTGTGGACCTTATGTGTTCCAAATGACTCTTTAGTTTGCCGTTCTTTTTATTTGTTTTGTTTTGTTTTTGGGTTGCATCGGGACGGTGCACTTTTTGCAGGGGGGAGTGATGCTGCGCGCGCAGCTGGTCAAGTGGGCAGCGCGCGCGTGGCATAACGTTTATCGCGCTTGCCTCCCATGCCGAAGGCCAGGGTTCGATTCCTGGCCGCGGCTGCACAGTTTTGTTGACACTAACGTGATGTTCTGGTGAATTCGAGAACCCTCTTGCTGATTCGAGGTTAGAATGTTTGACGCGCCGAACCTTCTACGCCGAACGATCCAGAAACCCACGAGGGTACATAAGGGATTCCGCAAGGCGAGCGGAGTCAGTTTCGCACCAGCGTTCGACTCTGCTGCTGCGCCGACTTCGACGCTCGCGACGCTCTGTTATTATCGTTCTTTTTCCTTTTATTTTCGGGCACAAGCTTGCCCATTAAACGTTCAGTTTACTCGGTCATTCGCCGCCTCGTCACTTGTCATCCGTGACTATATTGTGGTGTCATGCAGACGCGCCGTGACGTCACCCTATCGTGGCTATCGCTTATCTATAAAAGCGCTGGGAACGCGAAGCTCAGTGTTCTTGATACGGCCGCGCTTGCCGAATAAACATGTTTCGTTATACTTCGTGTCACCCTACGATGGACTAAAGGCAGAAGCTACGGACTGCCAGATCCAATCACGAGCCACTTACAAGTTGCGTGGTATTTCGCTTCGATGCGCGTATCGGCACTTGCATCTCGAATCACTAATGGGAAGGGGCGGACGGTAATTTGAATTGAAGAGCACTGAGTGACTCAACAATTTTACATTGCAAAGAAAGCTATTTCATACACGCTGTTTGCAGTGTCGAAGCTATAAAATTGATGCAGTGCTTTTGGACTCGGACGATCATTCGTCCACCCCTAACCAATGCTAAGAGTGTCATATTTTAGCTTGCAACGTGATTAGACCTTGCGGCCGGTGGCTTTGGCCTTGAGTCCATCGTAGGATGAGACAAAGTATAGTCGCTCTGTCTCCTGCCTAGTCCACTGGGGCTACAAAATAAATTGCGACGAGGATGGGATCACTGCCGGGTTGAAAAAGGCCACTAGCAGCGTAACTAGAGCCTACCGCGACGAGACGCCGGGATGACAACGGTTGGAAGGTTCGACCAGTTCGTCGAGGACGGCGACGAGGACTTCCAGTCCTACGTGGAGAGGTTTGAACACATCCTGAAGGCCTCCAAGGTGAGCGACGAACTCAAGATCTCAACGTTCACAACGGCAATAGAAAAAAACGCTTACAAGACCCTGAAAAGTTTGCTCGGGCCGGTAAAGCCTGAATGCAAAACCTACGCACAACTGGTGCAAGCATTGCAGGGATATTACTCGCCGAATCCCCTAGTTATACCGGAGCGGCTCAAGTTTAACCGTCGTTTCCAGCAAGAGGGTGAATCGGTGGCAGCTTTTGCAGTAGAGCTGAAGGGATTGGCTGCGTCATACGACTTCGGTGCATTTCTGGACGACGCCCTTCGGGATTGTTTGGTCGCCGGGCTGAGCGACCGAGAAACCCAAGCGCAGTTGCTGAAAGAGAGCACGTTGACGTTCGCAAATGCCTGCGATATCGCGAAGAGTATCGAGCTCGCACGCAAAGAAAGCGATGCACTTCAGCCCCGTCATACCCAGGGGACAGTCAGCGCGCAGCACCAGAAGCCAGACAGCGGGAGACACCCACAGCGACGGGAGCAATCTTCTGCTACGGCTGAACCATCGAGAGCAAGAGCGTTGGAATCATCGGACTGTTTCCGGTGCGGCTCAGCGCATGAGTCGTCTACCTGCAAATTTCGCAAGTATCGCTGCCGTTCTTGTAAGCGTTACGGACACTTGGCGGAAATGTGCAGGGGTGGGGCTTGACACTCCGCGAACGTAGTGGTGGAAGACTGTGACCGGGAAGAAGTGGTGCTGTACAATGTGAATTCTTGTGACGGGCGCTCAGGACATTACGAAATTTCCTTGAAAGTAGCCCAGAAGAATGTTCGCATGCAGATAGACACGGGCGCGTCGGTCTCAATTGTACCGGAAGCATTGTACAGGAAGTACTGGCCCTCTCTACCTTTAGAGCCGAGCCCCCTGAAGCTAAAAACGTACGGCGGAACACCACTGACAGTTGCTGGGAAGCTTTCTGTTCTCGTCGAGCATAACGGTCAGCGCGAGAATCTACCATTGATTGTCGTGAAGACACGCGACAATAGCAGCACGGCGTTGCTGGGACGTCATTGGCTGGCGGCTCTGAAGTTAGACTGGACTAGTGTGCATGGGGTGTGCCAAGACAAAGTGGCGGCGCTGCTTGAAAAGTATGCTAAGGTTTTTGAGCCCACGCTAGGACAGATCAAGGGCACCAGGATCAAACTGGTTCTGAAAGACGGTAGCACACCGGTATTTTGCAAAGCCCGACAAGTGCCGTTCGCGTTGAGAAAAGCCGTGTCACTAGAGCTGCACTCACTCGTAAAGGCAGGCGTTCTGGTACCTGTACAGCAAAGCGACTGGGCTACACCCCTTGCAGTTGTACCAAAAGCAAACAACCAAGTCCGGGTGTGTGGTAATTTCAAAGTGACGCTGAATCCGTGCCTACGTACGGATCATTACCCCCTTCCCGTTATGGAAGATTTATTTGTAATGATGTCGGGGTGCCGGTATTTCACGGTTCTTGACCTCTCCACTGCCTATCAGCAGCTCGCACTGCATCCCGAAGCGCAGTCTTTAGTCGTTGTCAACACACACCTGGGACTGTTCAAGTACACGCGCTTACCCTACGGCATCACGAGTGCGCCTTCGGTCTTTCAAGCAGTAATGGATGACGTGTTAAAAGGGCTGGACCGCGTATCTTTGCTATTTAGATGACGTTCTGATAGCCGGGTCCACTCTTGAAGAGTGTTTCGAGAAAGTAGGAAGTTTCATGTCACGGTTCCAGCTCCGACACTGCAAACGCCGAAGTGCACCCGGGCCAGATGGAATCACGTATCAAGCATTGAAAAACATAGACCAAGCTTATCATCCACAACTTTTAGAGACACTCAACTCAATATGGAGAACAGGCATTCTGCCTATGACCTGGCTAGAATCAATCGTAATTCCGGTATTGAAATGCGGTAAGCCGAGCCACTCCTCCTCATCCTATAGACCTGTATCCCTGACAAGCTGCCTGGGAAAGATACTTGAGCGCCTGGTCTTGAGACGCCTGACATGGCACCTAGAGCAATCACATGCGCTGCCACACCAGCTGTCAGGATTTCGTGCGAAGAGGTGTACAGCAGACGCAATGGGCGACTTGGCATCTGCACTCGAAGAGGCAAAAGCACGCCGCAACATGCTTCACTGTGTGTTCTTAGACATAAAGCGGGCATTTGATACACTTCCGCATATTGTTATACTCCAGCGCCTCAGACATCTCGGAGTAAAAGGGAAAATGCTTGAATATATTGAGGCATTTCTCCCTGGTAGAACGATTCGGGTCAGGGTCCCGGGAGCGCTTAGCAGTCCACGTACTGTGACTCAGGGCGTTCCTCAGGGAAGTGTCCTTAGTCCTTTACTTTTCAATGTGGCCATGGCAACGCTTCCAAGCTCACTTTGCCAGCAGGGACCGTTCTTTGTACAGATATCCATCTATGCGGATGATGTGACTCTTTGGTGCGCTGGCCCAACTCGAAGGGCAAGGAAGATTCGTTGTCAACTCCAAGAGGCACTTGATACAATCTGCATTGCCATCGAAAAACTCGGACTGACACTTTCCCCTGAGAAAACAACAGCGCTGCTTTACCGTCCGAGAGGACGCCCCCCCGAACGAGCGCTGCAACTCAAGATGGCTGGGATGCCAGTCAAGAGAGTGAGGACACATAGATATCTTGGATTGTTGTTGGATGATCGAGTAACCTGGAGACCGGAAGTCCGCAAAGTTCTCTCCAAGTGCCGCAGCCTTCTCGGAGTTATACGGTGCCTCCGCGGCCATGCCTGGGGAACACCACAACACGCCCTCCTTCAGTTATATAAAGGTTTAATCCTTTCCCGCCTACAATATACTTTGCCACTTCTCAACATCGGACCAGCACAACAACGTGATGTTGAAACATTTCACCGTGTGGCACTAAGGATGTGCGTCGGACTGCCGCAATACGCGGGAAACGTTGCCACACTCGTTGCTGCCGAAGAATGGCCTGTTTTTCTCCGGGCTGATGAGCGCGCCTGCCGTCACCTTGCGAGAATTCATGGTGTGTCCTCTGGGAGTTCACTACTCTCACACGTCCTTGACCGCCCCAACTCCCGCTTTGGCTATCTGGCTAGACAGTTCGAAGATCTTATAGGACCGCCCGGACATATCCCTCCACCCCCGCAGCCCCATCTAGAAGTACCACTGACGATAAGTGAAACTCTCCCTTACATGCATAGCAAGGCGAGTGTTTCTGGGACAGTTTCTCGCCTTTTGACCCAGGAACTACTCTACACAGAGTATATTGGATGGCTGCAAGTATACACCGACGGCTCCACTAGTCCGGCGACAGGAACTACCACGACAGCAGTCTTCATCCCAACTCACAACGTCTGCATTGCAGACAGACTAAACTTCGCCACAACCTCTACTACTGCGGAGCTGGTGGCTATTTGGCGGGCTTTGGAGCTCCTAGTGCGAAGAGGAACGCCAGGGAGAGCAGTCATCCTCACAGATTCGAAATCTGCTCTTCATCTTCTCCGGAACCCCGAGACTGGCACCCCATTAACTGCAACAACTGTAGCATCTGCCAGGTCGGCTGAAAGAAAGGGTTGGCAACTTGCTTTTCAGTGGTGTCCTGCGCACACTGGAATTGCGGGAAATGAGAAGGCGGATGCCCTCGCTACTGAAGCCCATGGACTTGAGACCCCAACCATTTCCCTTCGCCGGTACAACGAAGCATGGCGATTTATACGAAATTTCTACCAGAAGCGCCACCCACACCGAGAGACGGCTGAAGGACGGCCCCCTCCAGCAATCCCCCGCAAGCTGTCAAGAGAACAAGCCTCAATGTTACATCGGCTGAGGGCAAACTGCGCAAACACAAGGTCAACTCTGCACAAACTTAAACGAGTCAATAGTCCTGATTGCCTACACTGTGGAGCACTAGAGGTCATTGAACACGTGCTACTAGTATGCACAGCATACGAAGAAGAGCGTAAAACCTTGTTTCAACGCTACACTTTCAACGGACTTGCTTCCTCCAACACTCGGGAACTCCTCATCCCAGAAGCCCCACGTCGGCTTGTCCAGAGGGCTTACAAAGACCTCTTGGATTTTTTGAGTGAGACTGGTTTGGCAGACCGTCTTTGATCAAATACCAGAAACCGCAAACAGCAAGGTTGTTAAATTGAAACCCACACTTGTGCCAAACCCCCATCACATTATTGGACTGGTTTCCAAATTTCCACACTATCTCTTTTAGCCACCTACGGCTCCTCCCCCTTCCCCAAGCCGGGTAGCGACTCGCCCCGTACAAGAGGCCAACATCTCTCCCGGCTTTCCCTTTCCTTCTCTGGACCTCACAAGAAGAAGAAGAAGAAGAAGAAGGTTCCAGGAAGGAGGCATACGATTGAAGAAAAAAAAATGCAAGTTCTTTCAAACGTCTGTCTCCTACCTTGGGCACATTCTTGGTGCGAATGGCATAAGGCCGTCAGATGGAAACGTGAAAGCGATAAAAGAGGCGCCTACTCCAAAGAATGAAACCCAGTTGAGAGCCTACCTTGGGTTGTTAAACTTTTATGGCAAGTTTGTTCCTAACATGGCTGCCATGCTGAAGCCGCTGTACAATGCGCTGAATCACGAAAGAGGGTTTCAGTGGTCACATGCAGCGGAGCAGGCCGTCCAGCAAAGTAAAACTTGGCTCAGAAAAGGAACCGTTTTGACGTACTACGACCCAACAAAAGAGCCTGGACTGGTGTGTGACGCGTCGCCTTACGGCGTGGGCGCCATTTTTTGTTCCACAAGATCGGAGAAGATGAAAAGTCAATCGCTTACGCGTCCAGAGCATTAAGCACAGCTGAGCAAGGTTATGCTCACATCGAAAAAGAGGCCCTTGCTGTGGTATTTGGCCTCAAAATGTTTCATAAGTACCTGTTTGGGCGCAGCTTTGTCATCAATTCCGATCACCTGCCACTAGCTGGTCTTTTGGGTAACGGCAAACCCGTTCCAGTGATGTCAATTGCCCGCATGCAACGCTGGGCTTTATTGCTCGCGGCGTAGGACTACCGGTGGGTGTATCGCAAAGGCAGCGATGTTGGAAACGCTGACGCACTACCACGGTTGCCGCTAGCTAATGAGAAAGATGTATCAGATTACGTACACTTCCTCTCACATGTTGAAGTGCCATTATCTGCTCTCGGGATCCAGAAAGGCACACGCACTGAGAGTGTGCTGTCAAAAGTGCTGATGTACGCGATGCGCGGTTGGCCCGCACATTTAACTGACACCGAGCTGACTGCGTACTTTCTTAAGCGACATGAACTGTCGGTAGACCCACAGTGTGTCACGTGGGGAACTCGTGTGATAATTCCTCAAAACTTGTGTAAACAAGTGTTGCATCTGTTGCATGAAGGACACCCGGGTATGACGCGCATAAAAATGCTCGCCGAAGCTATGTTTGGTGGCCTCAGCTAACACAAGACATTGAACATCTTGTCAGAAGCTGCAGTACCTGCCAGTTGACGCAAAATGCTCCACCCAGTGCACCGCTACAGACGTGGGGTTTGCCGACTCGCAGATGGCAGCGAATTCACCTAGATTTTGCTTTCACGGACAACCAGTGGTTGTTGGTGCTTGTTGACGCCCATTCGAAGTGGGTAGAGGTGTCTGTGATGACGTCAACAACAGCGGACAAGACCATCGAAAAACT